AATCATCAAGATTACTCGCCCCCCTGCTATAGCTTCCTTTCGCAATTTCTCGCTCAGTCGTCCAGTCCGATCATGTATCGTCGAGTAACGCATATTTTGCAAAGTCCAGTCGACACGACTGCCACGAGCTGCCAAATCAGGCCAAGTCGCGTCGCTCATCTTCCTTCATGCCGCCGACAGCAGCTGTAGACACCGCAAGCTACTNNCACTGATTNNACGCTCAGACNTGGTCAGATCATGCATCACCACGCCGATAGTCAGAGAGGATGGGACACTAGCGAGCAATCATCTCTTACTGGCGACTAGCTACGAGGCAATACGTCAGGCTGAAGAACTGCCAGCAAGACCATCTTATCTACCTCAGTGACAACAGCAGCGCTTCGAGGACCAGACGCTCTCACCTGCCAGTATATGCACCACACTCATCGCACATGCACACCACATCGAATCATCGTCGACCTAGGCAACTCGACAGACATGAGCCCTTTCTGTCATACTCGAGCTGATGATCTCAATTCACTCACCGGGTGTCTATCGTGCTCGCATGATACAACATCTGTGCCTTGCGGTTAGGGTTAGGGTTAGGGTTAGGGTTAGGGTTAGGGTTAGGGTTAGGGGTGTGTAGCGAGGGANTCGACACGACTGCCACGAGCTGCCAAATCAGGCCAAGTCGCGTCGCTCATCTTCCTTCATGCCGCCGACAGCAGCTGTAGACACCGCAAGCTACTTACACTGATTATACGCTCAGACGTGGTCAGATCATGCATCACCACGCCGATAGTCAGAGAGGATGGGACACTAGCGAGCAATCATCTCTTACTGGCGACTAGCTACGAGGCAATACGTCAGGCTGAAGAACTGCCAGCAAGACCATCTTATCTACCTCAGTGACAACAGCAGCGCTTCGAGGACCAGACGCTCTCACCTGCCAGTATATGCACCACACTCATCGCACATGCACACCACATCGAATCATCGTCGACCTAGGCAACTCGACAGACATGAGCCCTTTCTGTCATACTCGAGCTGATGATCTCAATTCACTCACCGGGTGTCTATCGTGCTCGCATGATACAACATCTGTGCCTTGCGGTTAGGGTTAGGGTTAGGGTTAGGGTTAGGGTTAGGGTTAGGGNACGTGGCAACAGATGTGGTAGCGTGGCAATAGTGGTTAGGGTTAGGGTTAGGGTTAGGGTTAGGGTTAGGGTTAGGGTTAGGGTTAGGGTTAGGGTTAGGGTTAGGGTTAGGGTTAGGGTTAGGGT